AGGTTAGTTTTACAGTAAATTAAAATTTTTTATATAAATATATGTGTGTGTATATATATATACATACACATATATATAAATACATACACACACACACATATATATATATGAAGAAAAGCAGTAGCAAGCAGTGCCTCAGGTTTTAGTCGTGTACAGCGAGGAGGAAGCCACGTGCAGGGGTATGCGAGTGACTTCACAGAGTATTCTCATAGCTGGATTACCTTAACGCTGATTTTAGTGTAGAACATCCTGGGACTAAGATGGTTTCCTAGCTTGAAGATCAGCAACATAATGGCCTCTTTAGGGCAAAGTGTTATATTGCATCATTTTGAGAGCTAATTCTCAACTAGAGCACAGAAAAAAAGTCAAGAAAGTGCAGTTTTGCCTGCCTACAAACTTGGATTAGAAATGGAACAAACCTCATAGGAGCTGAGTGATTAGAGCAGTTGCCAGGAAGGGAAGACACTTCAGTTAAAATCAGTGAATCTCAATTCCTTCACCTCTAGTTTTTACCTAAAGCAGTGGGCTGCCAGTTTCTCATGAATAGGTGGGCTCCAAGGAAGAGTTTGAAAGTCTGATGGTATGAGAAGCAGCAGGAGAAAACAAAACAAAAACTTTGTGGAATGCCATTTTTTACAGAAATGGTCCCCATGGGGAGGGGAGGAACAAAATGTTTATCAATCACAATAATTTGAGATTGCATTACTGTGAAATTTACTTTCCTGTCATGGGCAGAATGCTTTCAGAAACTTACCATCAAGTTAGTACGTAGTTAAACATTAAATTAATGCTTCTTTTGATGATCTTCTAGAATAAACTTTTTAAATAAGAGAACAAAGGCCCAGGCAGCAAAGGAGTTTGGAAGCTGTGATATGTCCCGAACTTAAAGTTGCAAAGTAAACATTATTATTTAGCTGACTGCCATTTTAAAATTTTCTGTTTTCTTGCTTCTCATCTGATTTCTTTTCCTTTTGTAACTTAGAACTTAAGTCAGCAGTTTACCCATCAAAACAGACTGTCTAGTTCATGAACACACTGTCTCGCTCATGAAGAGCTAGAGCCAATTCCCACTCTAGGCACTGGAAAAGTTTTCATTGATTCAGTAGGCTTGATATCTGGCAGCCTTTGCAAAAACAGGGGTCAAAATCCGTGGTGGACCGTGTTAAGAGAAATAAGCAATGCATTTGTCCTTTCTCTCACTGAAAGAAATTCAACACAACTATAAAGTTTTGAATTTTCTTCCATTACATAATGATAAAATCTTTTGATGCCTCCTAGCCTGTCTGCAGAAAGCCTGAGGCCTGGGTACAATCACAGCCTTTTGAGGGGAAACTTAGCTGCCTGTTAGGCTACATGCCCAGGTGTGGGGGGCATTTTCTTAATAGATTTCATTAAAGACTGACATGTTGTTGTTTCTAATTTAAAGCAGTATGCAGTTCAGTACTATGTGGTTCAGTGTGGACAGGCTAAAAACGACTGCCAGCAGGCCGCGGCGTCTGCCAGCAGTGCACCAGTGAGTTCAGGCCCACAGATCTTATTAACCCATTTTATCAACCCAGTGGCTATTTGTATGAAACCTGGCATTTGTCTTGCGTTATTACTGAAACTCTGTTCTCTTCAGAACATGGAACAAGTTTGCTTTAATTTTGTTTTCTGATTTTTTTTTTTTTTTGTTGTTGTTTTTAGACTATTTGTTTCTGTTAAAGTGAGGTGTATGCTTTTTAAAATGAATTTAATTTATGGCTTTGTATGTGTAAGTTTGTATAATTCATCTAATGAATAGAACACCTGCTGACCGGGATTTCCCATTGCTAAACACAGGTGACTTGTTGCTGCAATAGGACTTATTTAATAAGTGATTTATAGATTAGCTGAAGAGTTTTTCTAGTGCCTAGCGTCCAAGGTACATGCTCCATTGCTCAGAAGAGTATAGAAATGCTTCTCCTCACATTTCTAAGTGAACCAGCTATTCAGCATTGCAAATACAATGTATATTTTTCAGATGAACCCTTAATACTGAAGAGTTAGGGGTTGTGTGTACGTTTGTTTTGTGTTTTCCTCCCCAACAACTTTTAAGTATATAACAGCTTCATCTTTGTACTTGAATGGGTATTAAGTGTTCAGGAAAATGTATCTTCTTAACTTGCTCTGTTCTGCATGTTTCAACTGCCTTAAAGAAGAGTGTCAATCAACTGGACTTTTGTTTTGTCACCCCTTTCCATACCAGCCTGCTTCTGTGTTCTGGCAGTTGAGCTGTCTGTCTTTGCCATGCCACGCAACAAGAAGTGAAGGCAAGAAGACTGCTTGGGTCCTAGGTTAGATGGCCAGGCCAGAACTGACCCGGGCATTGCTCGAGTGCGTCCTTGGCCTCGCACAAGAGGTGTGCCTCATAGTTTTGCTTACCTGAAATCACTTTCCAAGCGGGAAAAGGGGCCGCTGCGCTGTGAACCGTGAGCTCGAGAATGCGGCTCCTTGCTGAGGCGGCTTCGCCGTGGGCCGGGCTGAGCCCCGAGTGCCCGTGCCGCAAGCAGGGTGCCACGTTGAGTAGCTGAGCTTTCTCCTTTGGCACGCGGACACTAACTGGAGTTCTGCCTTGGCTGAGGACCATGTCTCAGACGCCCCTTTTGCCCGAGTCCATCACCAGGACAGCTGAATGTGTAGCTCGTGTTTGCTCACGAGTTGTTCTCTGCAGCGTTATGGGGCTGCTGCAAATATGCATGACTGAGCTGAGAGAGCAAGCTTTGAGCAGTGGGAGCAAAGCCTCTTTGACTCATGATTCCTGTTGGATCTATAGCTGCAGCAGTAAATGTACTAAACTGCAGCTAAATCCTGGGAAAGGAACCACCACAGGGCTCCATTCTCAGGAGTGTGCCTCTACAGATGTCTTCCATGATATCGCTCCCTAAATTGACTGAAAGATAGTTTGCTTCTGACATTATTTAATATGAAAAGCGTAGTGCCTCTCATGTAACTGTTCTGGGCGGGCCAGGCTATGCATTTCAGTAGTGTCTCTGCAGCCCTGGTTTCATATCTGGTGATTAATTCAAGTGAAATGCTTTTGCTCTGATGTAGCACCTTGTTCTTCTGGTTTCTCTTCAATCATATTCTCAAAAGAGGGAGGTGGATATAAGGTTTGTCTTTTGCTTTTGTACAGTGTCAGTCCCCAGACATGCAGTTCTGCTTTATGAAATACTTTTCAAGTCATTAGTTTTTTAAAAAAGTATCCCAAGAAATTTTACAACTTCTTACTAATGCTGTTGGAGTGCAGAAACACATCCAATTAGTTTTGCTATTGAGAAGAACACCATGATTTAGGGCTGTATCTCTTAATTATATTCTAACAAAGTCTTGTGAAGAGGCAGAGTTAGTGGCAACAAAAGTCTGCAATTAAGACGGGGTCTGTTGCCCGAAATCCAAGATAATTGAACAGGCAGGACTGTTGGAATAGATTCAGAGACTGTAGTTGCAAAAAATTATCTCTTAGTCTTTCAGAATATGCAGCAAAGGAGGGAAACTTCTCAGGAATGTTTTGTTTTATGGTACGGAGCACTGCGCGCTTAGTCACGAAGTTGCATATTTTGTGCTGCACACTTTCATGGCCTCATCGGGTATGTGTTTTTCTCTCTCCCTTCTTCCAGGCTCTTAGTCCGGTGCAAAGCTGATGGGTGGGAGCAAAGGTAAAGAATGATGTAATGCAGTGGCAGCCAGAAAGCATCTTTTGTGTGAATTGTGAAATGGCCATTCCATAGTCATCTCCCGATGAATCAGATGTGAGGGGCTGCTTTGCGGAGCGAACGCTTTGTAACGGCACATGGACTCGAAGCAGGAGGAGACATTCAGCTTGAAGAGCTCTTTCTGAAAATGGGTTTAACTTTTCTTTTGCCAGTCACTACCAGCATGACCTCATACACTTCTAGTACAATGGTGTGGCTAAGCCTTTGAGTACACAGCCATTACATCACCGCAGCAAATTAGAGAGGGAGGTGGCAAAAGAGGCCTCATTGTTGTCATGGCCGATGAGATGATCAGGACTCAACTCATTGTCGCTGAGAAGTTGGTGGCTTTGCTGGAGAGCGGTACGGAAAAATTTCTCCTGATCGATAGCCGCCCCTTTGTGGAATACAATACGTCCCACATCTTGGATGCCATCAACATCAACTGCTCCAAGCTGATGAAGCGGAGGCTGCAGCAGGACAAAGTTTTGATCACAGAGCTCATTCAGCACTCAGCAAAACACAAGGTAAGGATCATTTTCCTGTTATTTCATGCATTTGTTTTAAAGGGTCTGAAGAGCAATTTGTAATAATTTCCCTTAGGTAATTTGTTTTAAAAGACAAAATTGGGGCCATTTTTTACCTGATGTAAGAGGCTGTCAGTTACTAGCAGGTTTTTTGTTAGCATTCTTTGTCAAGTAAAAGAGAGCAGCTACAGAGTAAGGTGTTGGGACTTTGAAATTACTCAGGCAGATCTTTGTGAGCCTTGTAAAGCACAGTCCCCTATATGTATTGAATCAATGCTCTCAACATTCACCTTCTAAACTTTGAAGGAGTTTTTGGGGTCTGCAGTAGCAGAGATCATTCTGTAAATGGTCATACAGATTGTAAAGAAACTGGTAGCTCTGTCAGTTCCGGCTGCTACTTGCTGTTTAAGATGCTTCTCATGTGAATAGCTTTGGTGGAGGCGGTTGTGTTTTTAAGAGTATTGCTAGTGAAAAGAAAATAAGTTCTTTAAACTTATCAGTGACTATTTTTAGCCAGTTAATAGTTGTTTTTAATGCCTTAGATGATAAAAGTAATCTGCACATGGTACGTCTGCCTTCAAGGGTTAAAAAATATAGCTGTTTTATTATTGAAAATACACATATTTTTACAGATAGCTCAAATATATATGGTTCTAGGTAGTTTAAGGTTCTCTTTAAACAAAAAGCTTAGAAGCAGAAACTGAAAGTGGACTTTTTTTTAACAGTTTAGGCTAGGGCAGGGGAACTAGCCCAAACTGATGGCTTTTTGTAAGTGGTGTTACCTGATGGCTGAACATTACAGAGTACACTTCTCCTTGGGGAAGTGGATCACTTGGATCAGATAATAAGTTTTAAACTCTCAAAGGAATTAAAATGGTTCAGGTGTATTAAGTATAAAATAAAAGCTGCTTTGCATATAGCTAGGTAAGAAATCCATATTTCTGGAATGTGACATAGGAAACAGGTAGGAGCCCTTGACCTGACTTCATGCTGCTGATAATGCACTTCTAATCATCTTCCTCCTTCCTACCTTATTTTCCATGACTTGTATTTCAGATTGAAATTGATTGCCAGCAGGAAGTGGTGGTGTATGACCAAAGCTCTAAAGATGTGACCTCTCTCTCACCTGACTGCTTTCTTACTGTGCTTCTGGGCAAACTGGAGAAGAATTTCAGCTCTGTGTATCTGCTTTCAGGTATGATGTACCAAAAAAAAACAACAACAACAAAAAAAACTCTAAAAAGAAAGTGCTCTTAATATAATTGATGTGTATGAAACTTTGCAAAAAAATCCTGGTGTAACTCTTCAGTTGTAGCTTAGTTTTTTTTCATTTGTTCTTTTATGCATTTAGTAACATTCATAATAAATACCACAGATAGGAATTGTATCTTACAGGGGACATTTTATCTTACAGGGGACATTTTGCACCATTAGAGCTGTATAAATGGAAAGTGATCACTTTGGTTTTCTTTAGATGCATATGTTTGCTATTTTAGGGTCAAAAATCCTGTAACTGCAGTACTGTGCTCTTAAGCTTTATAAATACCAGGAACTGGTGCATACTCCAACAATAACATACTTAAAGAAGCTATTTTGTATGACTAACTAAACTTCATTTTTTTATGATACTCTATTTAGGACTTTCCACATATTCCCACTTTTTTTTTCTTTGAATACTAGGTCAAAGCATCATTAGAAATTTAAGTTCTTATAATACAGATTTGGTTAAGATGTGTTTTTGTTGTTTCTTCTGTCCCGCAACAGTAGAGTCAGTGCTCCCGAGAGGGAACAAGGAGGGGTGTGAGGTAAATCCAGAGCAGAAAGAAGAGGGGATGATGCAGAGAAGGAGGAAATCATTGCCATGACCGATTCAGTGATCTAAGGAAGCATACATGTGTCTGAGAGCTATTTAAACTACAGTCAGAGATAATGAGAAGGGAAGTCTCTTGAGAGAGATGCATCATCGGGAGGATTTCACTGAATTTTTAGTGACTTCAAATGAAGTGACTTCAAATGGAAGTGATAGAGAGGTGATTGTGTTGCTGAGAGAATTTTCCCAACTATTTTCAAAATGAGTACAGTGAAAGGGGGATGGCGGGGGAAGGAAAGATTTTTTTTCTGTTCATAGGTGCATTTCTGCTGACATAAGCTGTATGTTTATAAAGCTTACTAAGCTTTCTCTCTATATATGTATAGCAAGCATATATGCCAAACTGTGGTATGTCAGATTTTACTTAGGTTATGTTTGGAGTGTCTTTTTTAGCTATCACCGTAAGAGTTATGCTTGTGGACTGTAAACTACAATCTAGGATGAAGTATCTCTTCTTTCCTTTGAGGAACAAAGTAAACATAGAGTCTCTTAGCACAGTAAACACCTACTGAAAAAGTGATGAGATGTGTGATTAGTTTTTTATTAAAATTATACTGTTATTTGGAAAAAAAAAATAGACCAGTCTAGGAGAAATTCATGCCCCTTAAATACTTTTATTGATCAAATGCCTAACTCTGATCTTCATGATCTGCCCTGAGGGGTGTTTGTGTGTGGTGTTTTTTTTTTCCTTAAATACCCTGGAGCAGATGGATCATAGCTCTATGTGGTAATACAGGCTATTTTCATTTTCATGGTAGGAAGAGAAGCAGTTCTTTATAACTAAGAATTAGATCTCCTGGGGGAGAAAGCCTGAGTAAGGCCAAGCAGACAAGGATAGCACAAATCTTCCCTCCCAGAATTGCCAGGAAAACATCATCCTTGGGAGGAGTGAGAAGAAAAAGGTTGCTCAAACTCTGTCAATGCTGCTGCTTTTCTGTAGTTTTAAGATGGGCTTATAGGAAGCAATGCTCTGGCCCTCTTTTAGCTCTGCTGGACTCCATTAAGATGATGTTCATAATGTCACCATCCTCAGGGTAATAGGTGGCCTCTGTAGGAGGGGAAGTATCAGAAAGAGAATGTACCCACTTCTGCATCATCTTGGCAAGCACCAGTTGTGAACCTCATAATGATGCTGTGAGAAAGTGTTATGGATTTTTTTCTTTTATCTGTATCTGGTAGTTGCCTGTTCAAGCCAAAAATGCAACTTAAAACAAGTTTTAAGATACAAGTGCCTGTTGGCTAACTGAGATTAATTTAGCCATAAGCAACTGAAGGATTAATTTGTGTGTTAAGGTAAGCTAAACCCTAAAACTCTCCTACAGAAAAGTAGTGTTAAAACTAAGGAGTTTAAAGGAGTTTAAAAGGAGTGTTAAAACTCTCCTATAGAAAGGAGAATATTTACTTCAACATGTCCAATACATTTCTCTTAATAAAGCATAGAGTTGAGGATTTCATCTTTTTTTTGTTAAATAGCTAGGCATGGGGCAATTTCTGAATGCTAAAACAACTGCTAGTAGCAGAAGAGAAATACAAAGTGTTTACTCTTGATCTGTGATAGGTAAGTGTTTATTTCATGAAATACAGCCGGTTAAGATGAATTGATATTAAAGTAATTAACATCAGCTATGTTCCTTCCGCTCTGTAACATTTCCTTCTCTTATAATCAGCTTCCTTCCTTACGGAGAAAATTCTGTTTCACAATTCTTTTGTTTTTATTACATCTGTTAAAGAACTAGCTACTTAAAGGAGGAACTCACAGAGGTGATAGATACATCTGCTGCTCTGTAACCAGTTGAAGTCTCAGCAGTGGTATTTTTCCTGCTTGTGTCTTGATTAAGGAGAAAAATCTTCCTCTTCTTTTCCTGGAGTTGTGTGGGGAGAGCCATCATGCAAGATTTTGTCCTATAAAACATTTCTCAGAGTTTGTTGATATGCAGCTATGGAAAAGGAGATAAAATGTGTTGTCTCAGCAAGCTGATGACAAACCCTCGTAAACGTTTATGGCTCGTACTGAGAGTAGGGGTCAATGCACCGCGCAGAAAGAAAAAAACCTTTGGACTTGAGTATTCCCTGAGCCACTCAGTGTGGTTTACTCAAAACAGTGACCTTAAATAAAGGTTTTGGGATAGGAAAATATTTTTTGTTGAGACAGAATAAACAGCAATTAACAAATATCTGAAATTCCTGTATCTGTTCTTGCTGCTTCTCCCTATTACTGAGCATTTGGTGGGTTCTGTGGAGTTTTGTTATGTTTTAATTATTGAGGTTGTGCACAGAGGTATACTCTAACCTGAACTTTGTTTTCCAGTTAAGTTACTAATATAAAGACCTCAAAGGAACCCATACCAATTAGTTTAAGCTTTTGATCTAACCTGATAGAAATAATCCTGTAGGGAATGTTCTCAGAAATTTAAATATTTATTTTGATTCTTAATTTTTAACAGTATGCAAAACACAGCAATGTGGCTAGTGAAGGCTTAAGCCCCCTCTCATTTCTGTCATTCTAGATTACCCCACTCAGTTACACAAGCGCAAGGATTTGCCTTGTACCATTCTCTTCCGATATTTTGAAAACCAGATTTAGATTCAAAAACTATTTTTAAAATTATTTTGCTTGTTTTGTGATTTTTTTAAGTTTGTGATGTTTCTGCTTGATTTACAGAAACAGGAGATGCTACTAACAATGCCATAACTTTATCAAGGTGATAAAGAGGAAGAATCTTATTTAGCTTCTGTTCCACTATGCCAGTGGAAGTTACTCATTGTCTGCTTTACTAATGCACTTATTTTTCCCTACTTTTCCTTTTAATTAGGCTGCTTCTTGCTCTTGTAAGCCTGGATGTCCTCATAATGATTACCTTTCAAATGTTGCCTGTGGTGAAGAAGTAAAGGCTTATTTTATGTTTTCTATGCAGAGAATTCCTGCTAAATGTAAGGATTTCTGAAAAAGCAGATGGAAATCCTTACATGTCTCCCTATCCAAGAGATTAAAAATTGCAATAGCCTAATAGAGAGACATAGAATTAGCAATGAACTGAAACCAAAAGCAGAATTCTTGTTCTCATATGAACATGGAGCAATGGTAAATGTCTAAGAAGGATTAGATAAACATCAGAGTTGTGTAATGTAGGGTCATAGAAACAGGCTAAACTCTCCGTAAGAATTTCTTAAAGTACTGCAAAAGATGGAGCATGTTTTGCCACCAAATCATAAAGGGTACATTTTTCCTTTTTTATCAGGATTGCCACTTAGACTTGATATAACTGGGTATTCAATGCCACTGAACAGCCAGTTGTTGTTGAGGAAGGGGAGTAAAACATACAGGAAGTTTTTGTGAGCTTCTAGAAGTCCTTGTACAATTTGGCCCTCCAGTGCTATAATCTGTTATAAATTTGTATGCAGTTGTGTAATAGTGACCCATGTCTTCCATTAAATAGCATGGGCCTGATCTGTAGATTAAATTGGGGTTAGAGATGCTTGAATCTTGTCTGTAGAAAACCTGTAGAAAGCAGTGTCCAAACATGGTTGGAAACAAAGATGCCATTCTTCAACACTGGAGTGAGTGATCTTTCCTGCTCAGGTCTAATGATAGCTGTCTTGAAGAAATGGAGTGCATAACCTACATACTATCCAGGTCAGCTCAACAGTTGACAGAATCACTAATGGGGAAGTACAGTTCTTCTAGGTGCCTAGCTGAAGCCTGCATTTGACTTGCATGAACATCAAACAGTGAAGTTGTACCGGACCACTCCTTTTTTGGGTGCAGTCATCATGGTAATGCAGTCAAGCCCAAATGCTGAGTTGTCATCTAATCTCTGCTGCACTTCTGCCTATGAAATACGAGCAATAATATGACGTAATGGGTTTCGTCTCCAAGGTCTCAGAACTCTCATTGAGCACAAAGGTACTGTGATAAGCACAAAGACATAAATTACTAATTTCGTATTCAGTGACAAATGCGGGTGACATACAGTGGACAATAAATAAAGTCTTGAACTAAGTGAGGATGGAAAACATAAAAAGCCAGCAGACGAGTTCAGTGAGATCAGGCAAGGGTCCTGGAAAAAGAATAGCGAGTGATTAGCTTGAGACCATGGCAAAAAATGTCCAAGCCACTGCATCCTCCTGTCCTGTCTCTCATCTGTTAGAGAATACATGCAGAATGGAAGACCCACATGGAGGATACAAAGAAGGAAGTAAGCTGAAGAATTTTTCTACAACTTACTTATGTTGGGATTTCTCTTAAATATTATTTGAAATTGTCTCTGTTCAAAAGACTCTCGAAAATGTGTGCATCTCAAGAGTATGTTTGCCATTGTATTGTC